CCAGGATTCCTGCACTCTGGAATTCTGTGCCTGGCACACTCCAGGATTCCTGCACTCTGGAATCCTGCGCCTGGCCCTCCCCAGGGAGGGTTTAGGGCCAGTCCAGTCAGGATTTCTCCCAACAAAATAAATCCTGAGGTTTGTGCCACACAGGGAGGGGAGTTTGGAACCAGAGCCGCCTCCCTGAGGATTTGTCAGAGATAAGATTGATGAGGTGTGGAGTGGGATCAAACAGTTCCCAGATAATCCTGAAACAGCAAATCTTAACCACAGGCTTTGTTCCTGCCCCTAAATCAATCCTTGCTGGGCAGATACCGTGCATTATTTGTAGGAAAATTTATCTTTTTTTAGGGAATGTGGCATTCCACCAATTCTAAGCTCTGTGTGTGTGCAAAGCTCTGCTCATCCGTGGATTTTTTTGTAGGGCTCCTGAGCTCTGTGCTTCCCAAACCACGAACTTGATTATCCCGCTCTTGCAGAACCTCAATTGCATTTCAATTTAAAAACCTGCTGAAGGCCCCGTGGGAGATTCTGGGATTGTCAGTCCAAAATACGGGATCCACTGTGTTCCTGTGGTGCATCTGCCAGCACAGAGCATAAAAACCCAGGGAAAAGGATGAAGTGCTGGAGGAAGCCAAGCATTTGGGGCGATTTTGGAAAGGGTGGTGAACCAACAACCGGTGTTGTGTTCCGAGGCCAGGGTGAGGAATTATCCAACCCCCGGGCTCTGCGGATTCCGGGAAGGAGAAGGTGAAGCAAGAGCAGCTCCCTGCAGAGCTCTGGGGCCACCTGAGGATGCTCAGAGCTCCGGGTGGCTTTGCTGTACTGCAGCCCAGGGGCCAGCCGAGCTGGGGGAGCCCCGGAGGAGCTGCTGTCCTTGACCTGCCTCCAGGCTAAAACTCCAAGAGCTGGACGTGCCCGGGGCTGGAGCTGCCCCCTGGCACAGCCCCGGGCACCCTCTCTCTTGTTTCAGTGCAATGCCAACCCCTGCTTCCCGAAAGTCCAGTGCATTAACACCAACCCCGGCTTCCGCTGCGACCCCTGCCCGCCCGGCTTCACCGGGCAGCTGCTGGAAGGGGTGGGCCTGGCCTTTGCCAGGGCCAACAAGCAGGTGAGAGCCTGGAACCTTCCGTGGCCTCAGGAGCTGGGAATCCTCTCCCCTCTGCAGCCGGGGCTCCAAGGCCTGCGAAGGAACGGGAGGGAAGCGCGAGGTGATGGTTCCTAAGGGCGGAAGGGATTCCTGAGGGATGGAAAGGGAGGGCTGGCAGGGAATTCCCACCCCTGGAAGTGTCCCAGGCCAGCTTGGAGCAGCCTGGGCTTGTGGAAGGTGTCCCTGGGGGTGGGATGAGTAAAGGTCCCTCCCCACCCAAACCGCTTTGGGATTCTGTGATTCCGTGTATTGGTGGGAATGCAGGGAGAGGAGAGTGCCCAGGATGTCCTGGCACCTGAGCCCCAGAGGCACCTCCCCAGTGCCAAACTGGGGCTGGGCAGAGCATCCCAACACCTCTGGGGCCGTGGGGCCGTCCTGGGGATGGGAGTGGGAATGAGAATGGGAATGGGAACAGGAACGGGAATGGGAATCCTTCCTGCTGGGACACAGACGAGTTCCTGCAGCTGCTGCCACCCCCTCCCAGCTTCTCTGACAGCTCCAGGCAGATTAAAAATCCCAACAGCCTGGGCTGATTGGGGTTTTTAGGGATAATTATCCCGCATGCGGCTCTGGGAATTTAGGGCTGGTCGTGGGATGCAGCCATTGAGCTTCCAAATCCACGGAGCCCCTTCCACAGTGAGGATATTCCAGCAGCTCGGCTCGGGGCTCAGCTCTGTTCCCAGGCTGGAACCTCTGCTGACTCTGGACAGGGCTCTGGAACCCTGCTGGGACCTGCCTCAAGCCTGGCAGCAGGAAAACTTGCTAGTCCTGGGCTAGTGAGGTGTGCCAGGGCTCTGCTGCTGCTGGGCCCGCCCAGGTCCCGGGGTTTGGCTGGAGGGAAGCCAAAGGTGTGTCCTGTTCTCCTGTTCTCCCTGGGCAGGTGTGCACCGACATCAACGAGTGTGAGACTGGAGCTGCCACCAATTGTGTCCCAAACTCCATCTGCATCAACACTCGGGTAAATCCGCAGGGATCGGGGAGGATCCCGGGCTGGGAGAGCTGGGAGAGCTGGGGGGGTTCAAATGAGAGGAGCAGCTCCAGGGAGAGGTTCCAGAGCCTGAAGGGGCTCCAGGAGAGCTGCAGAGGGACTGGGGACAATGCAGGGAGGGATAGGACACAGGGAATGGCTCCCACTGCCAGAGGGATGGATGGATGGATGGGAGATTGGGAATGGGGAATTGTTCCCTGGGACGGGACGGGATGGGATGGGATGGGATGGGATGGGATGGGATGGGATGGGATGGGATGGGATGGGATGGGATGGGATTCCCAGAGCCCCTGGATCCCTGGCAGTCTCCCAGGCCAGACCCCGGGACAGGGGGAGGCGTCCCGAGGAGGGGCTGCGGGAGGCATTTCCCGGGATTCCCCTCCGAGCTCCTCCTCGCCCTTTTCCCGCAGGGATCCTACAAGTGCGGGCCGTGCAAGCCGGGCTTTGTGGGGGATCAGATCAGCGGCTGCCGGAGCCAGACGGCCCCGGGGACGCGGCGCTGCCCCAACGGCGAGATCAGCCCGTGCCACGAGAAAGCCGAGTGCATCGTGGAGAGGGATGGCTCCCTGTCCTGCCAGGTCCGGGGCACTGCTGCACCCTGGCACCGGGCACCGTGCCACCGTGCCGAGGCTGGGCTCTGCTCCCCCCTCCCCAGTCC